ACAATGACCATTATCCTGAATAAAATTTGGTCGATTTGAGAGCAAACGGTCTAGACTACTGAGTCCGGCTCTGGAATTTAACGAATTGGATGCTTCATAAAATGGAAAAAAAACGAAAAAAATTCTGAACAGTCGAATAAACACACTGGCGAGCGTTTGAGTCGGGAACGAAGAGAACTTTGTTTTTGTACAGAAATCTGGTCCGTGACCAAAGCGTTTGATGCCTTTTGGACGGGTCCGTTTCCTGCTTCGAGAATTTATCCTTTCGTTTCGGTTTGGACGTATATAGCGTAAAATTAAAGAGAAGGCGATTTAGATATCAAAACGGTTAAGATTTACAATTGCAAATTATAAGTTGTCCGTGGTATATCGATTTCGTCATTAATTTATTATTATCGTCTGATCCTTTCACTTAAAATGGTGTCCCGGGCACGAGTGCGAGGATATTAGGATATTTTTCCCATTCAGAAGCGACCCCTGACGGACCTCATTGCAAATCCGTTTTCCTACCAAAGGATTTCACATCATTTAATATAAAAAAATATACACCCAATATCACATATATCTCACTGTGTATATTTATTTAAAAAAAGGATTTAGATGTTTTTAATTGTTCGATAATATCCACTTAAATATGAAACATAAACGATTTTCGTCTAAAATGTTTGACAAAAATATTTCGGTCTGAGTACAAAAAGTGAGTAGATACTGAGCATGAATCGGTAGAGTCGACTTCAGTACAAAATATTTCGGAACGAAAGTTATTTATTTTTATCTAATGAAACCGTATAATGTACGCTTAAATTTCAGAAAAATAACTTTTCACTATCTTGAAATTCAAGCTATCCAGATAGATTTTTATTCTGTAAGGATATTAACAATATTAACTTGGCTAAGCAAAAAAGTAATTGTCAAAAATGTTATAACAGTGGGAAGGTGGGTGAAATAAGAATTTTAAAATGTACTTTCTTTATCACAAATGACGCCTAACCTCACTTGCCGAACGTGACCTTTATAAACACAGACCATAACGTAATCGCGTGTGTTCTTTGGTGCAGTGTTTACCTGTCATAAAATTTTCCTGAATTATACGTACATTTAAAGTTGTTCAATAAAAATATTTTCTAAAATAGAAAACATTAAAAAAATGAAGATTTATGCAACAGGGTGTTCAAAATAAATGATTACATGTGGATAATTTAAAATTGAAAAATTTCGATTTTCTTAAATGGCACACCATTATAAGTACATATAAGAACATTTTTATTAATTAATCATTTGTATATTATATTAAATCGACTAAATTGTATTTATTAACTTTCCATCAATTCTGACGATTCTGGTGCAGTTGAATTTTTTGAAGTCGATTGTGCATTTATAGAAAAGCACCTTATTAACGACCAGTCTAGTCTAATATACCTAAGTAGTTTGATTTCTATCTCTTTCAAAAGTGTACTAAAAAAAAGTTTAGTTAGCAAAACGCGACAAAAAATAAAGTCTGTCAGATAAAATAACCACACTTTCGCAAATTTAAAATTTACTCTATAAGTCACTGATTGGCCAACAATTTTTAAACTTTTGAAAGTTGATTTCGATCTGACATTTGAGTGTGTATAATTTACGTTCCTAAATTTAAATCGAACTCTATCACGTAAGGCTATCAACATTACAAGAATTAATGAATGAAAATCTCGCTTGATTTAAACATTATTTTTATTAGTAAAAGAACGAGTCTGAAATCATAATTAAGCGGATTTATTTTCTCCTCTTTGGCCGTAAAACTTAGCTTAGTGGATTTTCTTGTATATGCCATGGCCAGCAGTAAGACATCTGTGTTACATTTATCCATTCCATTTATATCTTCGCACCAAGATTGTCTGTGTGAGTGTAAGAAGTGTAGTGTTATACTCATATTGCATCCCATTTCCCAACATTTCTCTAACATGTTTTCTACAATATCTTTTGTAATTTGGATATTTGTTGTTACGTAGAACTGTAGCATTCTTCCAATTGCACAGGGTGAGCGACAGGCATAGAAGCAAGAACATTGTAATCTCTGCAAAATGTATGCCAGAGTCGTAGCAATTTCAATTTTTAGAATGGTATGTAATGTTCCTATTTTTAAAACAATAAATACGACTCTCAAAAAAAAAGACATCTTTTTTCTACTAGTTTAGTCTCTGTAACTCCAAAAATTTGAAAAATGCCAAACTACAAAATCTTTGTTGGCCTGTATAATTGTATATTTCCCATATATTTTGCAATTTAACGTTTTTTTTTTCCAATATTTTATTAAATCTTCTTGGGACGTAGGGAGTGATGACCGTCTAAAAAAAAATTCGGGATGACAAAATTGACCGGGTCCTCCGGTACGCCGGGTGTCTGGTCTTTTTTTGTTCGTAGCCGTTATCAGAATGACGGTGTCTTGGAATTAAATGGTTCCATGTCGGACAACGCGCGTACGACCACATTAGGAGATACGGGCGAACCTTTTCGAAAGGTTGCCGCGCCGCGTTCGAGGTGTTTGCGCGATCCTCTGGTTTCGCGATTTTATTTATTCTTTTTCTTTTTATTTTTCAATTTATTTATTTATTAATTAAGTTATCTTCTTTTCCTTCTTTTTCCTTCTAACGGAGGTTGGATATTACCATGGCTATACCATGGAATAGCTGGTTTGATGTCATTCCAAACAGTTCCTTTAAGTTTTTGAGCCAAGACGTTCTTCTTCTTCCTTGACTTCTTTCTTTCCTTCCATAATGTTCTGCATCATCGCATATTTTTGGGTCCTCTTATCACGTGGCCAAAGTATTCCAATTTTCTTCTTTTTAGTGTTTGTGGGTTCTCTGTAGCAGTTCCAGTTTGAGGTTTTCAACATTCGCCGATGTTGAAAAAACGTAGCATCGAAGCATTCTTATTCTTTATCCGAAATCTTTACAAATGCACTTCTGCATGCCTCTATGCGACTTTTGATTTTTGATTAAGTTATACAACTCAACAAACAACTCCTAGTGGAAACAATACGAGACGTATGGAAGAATGGACATTAAACATTAACAAAGTAGCTAATTTAGAAGAAAATTTATGGTTTTTAACTTTTTTATACTACAAATAACTATATTATATTGGTATTGAACACTACTGTATGAATTAGCTGAGTTTATAATAGTTTATATAAGAGAGACAGTGAGAGAGAGAGAGAGAGAGAGACCCTTTTAACGGGAATATTGAAGCAAGTTACAAGAATCAATTTCATTAGTTGTTAATTTACAAATGCAACAAATCATTTTTCCTTCGGTAATCTAAGAGAAAATTCTTCTACGACGATCTGTGTTAACAATATAAATGTGATTGGTACAAAAATTTTAATCTTTGTCATAATTTTGACAGGAACAAAGTGACGAATAATCGTCACAACTGCAAAAACTCAAACGCGTTTTTCATAAGCACCAATTTTAAAGTTGTATTATTGAGGGTGTGTTTCACAGGAAACGTTGGCCATCTTTTCTGGAATATAGGAAAAATTCGAAAATTTCGGTTTATACTAAAGTCGGCTAGGGGTATCGGGTTAACGAAGTATTTTCAAAGTGGCGGTTAATCAGAAAAGGGGTATCCAATACAAGTCCATTCAGTTTCATTTCGAGGTTTTTGAGGTATTGATAAATAACTTTATGTTTAGAAAAAAGTTTCTTTAACGACGTAATCGTTAATTTTGATCATTTTTAATATAGGGCGATGACCAAAAAGACTATTAAAGTCTAATTGTTTTGTTTAGAATTTAAAATGTGGCCAACTTTCCAGTTTTCGAAAAAAAAGCTATAAATACTTTAATAATAAAAGCGAAACTTTTGCTTGACTTCACTAAAAGACAAAAACAAAAGACTTTTACAGATCGATTTCGCATAGAAACGATTTAAAAGAAAAACATTTAAAATTTGCATCTTCAAAAGTAACGAAACGCATACAAAAACAATATTTATTTAACATAATGCAAAAAGGAGGTGGGGGGCAACTAAATTGATCAAGTCCCAGCCCCTAAATCTTACCTAACTGACAAACCAACAAACATAATATCACAGAGGAGAGATTTTTTTTACAAGCGAATTAAAAAGTTTAATTATTTAAGTTGGTAATTTCACGGAGAGAATTGACGAGCTTAACGATAACATAAAAACAACAACTTCAACCATATTACGTTATGGCAAATATAAAGCTCAATTTTTTTTTTTTGAAATACTAATCGTCAGGTAATGGATTGACAAGGAGCAACAGGGAACTTGAACATTTTTTTAAATTTCTTTAATACATTTGTTTAGGTATAGAAATGACGCATGCCAAATATCAGAACTTACAACCCAGTATTTCCTGATCTATGTAAAATAAAGAATACTTTAAGTAATTAATACTTTCAAATATAAACTTACTTTTGTAAACAATATTTCTCAAATTAAAATTTTGTTCAAGTTCCCTATTAAATTGAGATACGGGAATCTATTCTTCACTAAGCAGTAGTTTCGTTAGTTGCCTTTGGTTTCTTTAAAAGAGGCACAGTTTATAAAAAAAATAATTTAAGAAATATTGCTTATAAAAGTAAATTTATATAAACTTACTTACTTATATAAACTTACTTTTATAAGCAATATTTCTCGAATTAAATTTTTGTTTAAATGTGTGCAAACATTTTTCTGCGGTATAAAAAAATATGTTTTCTTCGTTTAATAATATAGTCGTAATTTGAAGCTGCGTTTTAACTTTTTTGAGATGTTTTTTTTTTGTTATTGCGAATTTCAAAAGGAATATAATTTTATTTATAATATCTGTTCGAAATTGCGGTTATAAAAAAAAATGTTTTTTTATAATTTAATAATTTTAACCTTTTTCGCCACTTATTAAGTCGCATTGCCGGATCGACTGCCGCCCCTCCCGAGCCGCATCGATTCGCGCCCGCCGCCGACTGCTCAATTATAATCCAGTAAACCGCCCCCTCGCGGGCCACCCTCTCTTTCAGTCTTTCGCAAACCGACATTTTCACGTAACGCACAACGATAGACGTATTAGCGAGCGTACTACGCGTCGTTCATCCCCACCACCCTCGGGAGCGCGGAAAGTGTCTGCCGGGCGTTTTTCTTCTCTGCACACACACACAGCCGCCTATAACAACCTGTAAAACCGAGCGCGGTACGTCAGTTTCCAACCGACTCGCTTGAGGTGAGGACGTACGTCGTTTATCGTACCGGCTGGACGAACATACGACTCGACGACAAGGCGAGAGAAATCTGGCGCGCGTGTGTGTGTGTGTGGCGAAGCGTCGGATTACGGGGAATACGAGAAATGTGTTGGGCGGACGTCGCTTCAAAGGAAAGCCCGCGAAAAAGATGACCGTCGGCTGCGCTGGTGATTTCGGAAATTATCGTATAGTTGCGAGTACGCGTTGTGGGTGTTTTTGTGTTTAAAACAAAGTAAAAGAAACATTGCCCGGCGTGGATTTTATTTGGACGCGATGGCCAGGAGGAAAATGCGTGGGAAAAACGGTAAGCAATCAGAAATAGTAATCGACACTTGCAATTTCGTCAGTGTTTTCGCGTCGTAGTCGCGGCTTCGATTAACTTTGCCTATTGTTTATTACTCTAAAACACAATTTTACCTGAATTTAAATTCCGAAACTTTAGGTAATAATCTTGTTGCATTGTATGTTAATGACCAACCTTGGATAATCCCATTCAAAAGCAATTGGTCACTTTCTTATATCTATGAACAGACCATACCTAATATATTTAAGTTATTTGATTGGTGGAACATTTGGTTAGTTTCCGTAACCAATTTTGACAAATACCATTGTTAAGTTAAACGAACTTTACTGGGGTCTTAAATTTTTAATATTTCGAGTATTGTTGTTGAGTGAGTATTCACTCAATAATTTCATTGTAATTTTTTCATCACCATTTATTTATTTATTTATAAACAAGTCTTTGCTACAGACAGACGCAGCTGTCCAACAAAAGGAAAGCACCAAATGTCACAAAAAAGATACTTAATCAGTTTCAATTATTTTTCGCAAGCTAAATCAAATTAAGACCTAATTACAGCTTTTTATTACAGTGCTGAAGGGTCGTTTAAAGGCTTCAAAGCACCGAGCAAATAAAACAAGATCTATAAATAAATTTACGTAATTAAAGTTATTATGATATATCATTTAATGTAGGCACATTTGTTCTATTTAAATTACTATAAAATATTACCAAATTTTTTTAAGTTATTTGCAGATTGGTGGAACATTTGGTTGGATCGTAACCAATTTTGACAAATGCTATTGTTAAATTAAACGAACTTTACTGGTGGGATCTTTAATTTAGATTTTTAAGTATTGTTGTTGAATATTCACTCAATGATTCCAAATTATTTTCCGTTTTCATTGTAAATTTCTCATCAACATTCGTTTATATATTTGTAAACAAGTCTTTCCTACAGACTGACACAACTAACCAAAACTATTTTTCTCAAGCTAAATCAAATAAAGAATTAATTACAGCTTTTTATTACAGTGTGTTAATTGCTATACCGTCTTAAGTGTCTTTTAAAGTGTTCAAAGCTCAGAGCAAATAGATCAAGAACCGGAAACGCGTTATTTACCCTGTTATAAGTACAGGTATTGATAATTATCAAAATTCTTTCCAAAATGTCTTAAACATTGCCTTTTCTATAAATAAATTTAACTAAGCACTAAACACTGAGCCAACTCATAGTATATCAAAAAAAAGTTTTAAGGTGGTGATTTTTTTTATTTATTTTATTTTGAAATCAGTGAAATTCGTAGAAGTTGCGAACAAAATCATAGAAATTGTGTGAAATCCGCGGCATCTGGAAAATCTCACGGTTGTATGAAATCCAGTGTACCGTAGTAATAAATAATAATGAGGTCCATAAGTGTCTGGTCCTACTTTTAACTTTTCTAATCGGATGTTGAGATACAATTCTAGTTCCCCAACTTCTACGGAAGAATTTGACCAATGAGAAACACAAATGTTCTGATGAATTCTTCCATGCGGAAGTAGGTATAAACATCAGGCCAAGTTCCTATTCTATTTATTGTGCCTATCTCTAGAATGAGAACGATTTCTACTGATAAGTTTTGCTACAAGTTGCTCTATTACTTTTATTACTACTTTCTCTAAATCTATTGTGACTTGAAGTTGAAAAAGAGACTTGAGGTCTGGAAATTAGCTAAATCTGGTTCGACGTTGTTTTGTTAAACATAGGTGGTACAAAATTCTTTTCAAGATGCCTTCGACAACGGGTTACTCCAATAGAACTAGTTTAATAGTTTCATCTACTGAAGTTGTCAGTCTATTAAATAAACTCTCCATACAAGCTACAAAAATGCCTATTAATTCATTTGAACCTTGTGTTCTAGTTTTGATTTGGTAAGAAGTCTTCTCTGAAGTATTGACGCATAGTTTCCCAATTTTGAACTTTTTCTTTACTCGAACCATATTCTACACACAAAAAGTGTTTAAGTTCAAGTCCTGAATGGGAGGCAAAACATCGTGAAGTAGTATATCTTGAAAATTAATTTCAATGCTAGCCTTAGATTTATATTTAAATTCAGAAAAGTAATGTGAAGTTAAACTGAGATATTCTGATCTTTTTCTGCTGTAGCTACTGTAGCAGCCACTGCGCTATTTTTGTTTCAGTTTTACGAAGATTTGGTTCGGTTACTTCTATTTGATTTACAAATGTCTACCTCTTTATCAATGTCTGCCACAAACGTGTACTAAAGCTTGTACGAGCTTTTTCAACAGCTAAAGCTTCTCGTAGTAATTTTACTAGAAGCATGAAAAATGTCTGTGAAATTTTTCTAGTATATATCTTTTCTGGAACGATAACGGAAAAACCTTGGAATTGTCGCTATCGATTTTCCTAAATATTATTTCCTAGAACGACCCCGCTATGATCCTTGCTTTGGCCCGAACGAAACGTTTATACATTTCTTGTCCATTAGCAAAACAAATAACGCTCCGTCTTTCTGCGTTCCACCCCCGCAAACTTTTCGGTTCTATTTGTACATCTAAATCACCCTCGGGTCCCGGGCAAAAATAAAACATCGCTCCCCCCCTCCTCCCAGGGGTGGTAGCAGCGCTCTTCTATTGAATTTCTAGGAGGCGGTAAAGTTGGATTTATTGCGAAGGGAATTGTTGATCTAATAATGTTTTGGGGGGTTCGAAGGGGGAGAACGTTTTGCTACGACTCTAATGGGCGGCCCTTGGGGAGTTGTTATCGCGGTTAATTCGATCGAGTCGAAGGGATCTGCGGTTTTTCCTCCGCCAAGACATTTGACTGTGGGCCTTTTTATCTTATCTCTCTGGCATATTGTCCGTTGAAATGACACGATAACCCGATATCAGATATTTGCTCGTTGAAGTGGCTTACATAAGCGTTTGGAATTTTTCTGTCTATCGTTTTGCGTCTTAAATCGTGAGCGAAAAAGTGCTATAATACGACCAAAAATATAGCGCATTTATTAATTAATTAATTAACCGCAGACCCTCGCAGGACCGTGGTAAAACCTATTCCGAGAGATGTTTATTCTGTATTAAGCAGGTCTTGCCTGAGATGGACCGCAACGAATATTTGTAAAAACTTGGAAATTTTTGATTTGAAACGTAAATGGACCGTTTTAATTTTGATTATTTTCGTATAAGTAGAAGCGTTTATTTTAACATCATATACTGTTATTGTGTTGGATAATGCCTCGTATTGTTCAGCCCAAATTAGAAAAATTTCAAATTCCAAATACTTCTTCAAATAAAAATGATATATGACTTTGTATTATTTTTTTATGTACATATTTCAAGCATTTTTCGACGGAAAAGACTGAAAACATACTTATATCCCACTTGTTAGTGCCGGTAGATAAATTTCTACGACGGTCCTGGAATGGTTACGGGTAAGGATATGCTCGTCAGGGTCTTCTGTAACTATATTTCTGGTCGAAGTATACCATCCCTGAAATAGAACATTTTGCATAACCTTAAGGCAGGCGGTTTGTGGGCGAAAGTTATTTATTACGTTATTTAAATTTAAAGTTTTGCGTCGAATTTTTAATTAAAACATTTTTTCGGTGGCTTGATTTTGACGTGTTTACATTCGGGCGACATCTTAACCGATTTATTAGGTCGTAAACGTGTCGGATCAACATCATAAACACTTAAAAAATTAACGGTACTTACGTTACGTACAAAAAAATTTAATTTACGACGTAAAACAACTATTTCCATTCATTTAGTGGGGGGACATCCAACGTCGTTGAATTTTTTCGAAAAATATCGCAACATTTATGAATACGACGGAAAAATGCTTATTTTACATTATTGATATCTTATTCGTGACGCAATTAAATAACACCTTGCTACGTTTTCGAAAGTACGCTCTTTCTAATGATCAATCAGAAGCGGGATATCGGATGTAACGTAACTATTATTTTTTGTCTTTGTTTTATTAGAAAAGAGAAAACATTTTAGTTCGTTTAGTTGGTTATTGAAAATTGGCACTAATTTCAAATCTGTGTTATAGATTTCAGTTTCTTTTACATAGCCCATATAGAGAGCTATAACTTTTGTATTTAAGGTTTTTAAATATTGTACAGGGTGTTCGCGATATTCCGTGCAATATTAAAAAACGTAATAAGTCCCCGAACTTGCAGCTGCCGACTTCAGGCTTGGGAGAGAATTACAAGTCTGGACCCGCAGTTAGACTTTTTAAATTGGGAGCAAAAAACTAACGCGAAATATTTTTTTTTTTAATTTTTGATTTTTTTTTGGTTATTTTGGCATCCAGAAAACATCTTTCCTCCAAGGTGTGTGCAAGGTGTTTTAGTTATGGACAAAAATCAAAAAGACCCTGAAAATTGTTCTTTTTGAGAGTAAATCATTAACCGTAAATCAAAATTCATACAAAAAATAGCTAATCCGTTCAAACAGTGTTATAGGCCGTATCAGGGGCTACAATTTTTGTATTTATATTTGAAAAAATCCAAATGAAAATCACCATTTCTCGCTCTCAATCTAGACGCGATGACGTCATTTACTATAACAAGTAGTTTTTTGAAAAGCACTTACTAAATTGGAAAAATTCGGATACGAGGAAACTAAGGACATCCAATGCTATATAGCCTTTATTGCGAAGGAAAAACTTTGAAAGATATGATAATTTGACAGTATCGTAAACTGTGTCGAGAGAGAGTTTAAGGTTTCGTCTATAATACAGGGGACGTGACATATTTGAAAAAATGTAATTTAAAATTGTAATTGCCAGTACAAATTTTAATGTTTACCGAAGTTTGCCTTAACTTTAAAGTTCGACGAGATGTGAAGGACGCTTTGTACAGGGTGTATTTACAATCAAATTACATCGATTTTCGGAAGTTCCATAGTGGTCCGCAAGAGCACGATAGAAAAACAATGCGTCCCTCTAGGACAAGAATCCGCGAAGCGCCATCTTTTTAAAATAAAAAGCAGATTCGCGCTATTTGCTA